GAATAATGGACGTTGGTTTCGATTATTTGTTAAACGGGTATGTAAAACAATAAATCAAATTATTCTTTTTTATTCGGACACAGATTTATACGGTGATATATCATTAGATAGGAACGAACAAGATATTCATAGAAGTCTAGATTAAATGCTTTCAAGATCCTTTTCGAAATTCGGTCGCTTGAACTCATGCAGGATACAGAGAAGACGATGAGGTTGAGTTTAATGTATTAGACTAAGTTCCATGTGCACATAGGCCAATGGATAAAAGCCAACAAATACGTTGGATGATCAAATATAGACAATTACTGTATTGACAATCTATATAGACTCAATAAAAAATTATTTGATTTGAAGATGGCCGATTCTCACATATATGTACTAACGAAAGAACTATCATAAATAACGCCCGACGTTTTAGGTTTTCTTAAGCTCAAAATTAGGTCTCAGTGAGACTAGCAAAAGCCTACGAGGGATTCTTCTTCATGGTTCTGCGAGACCAAGTTATAGTCATTTTCTTTGAATTTTCGATTGATCCTGAGATATTCACCAAAAATTCCAACAACGAAATTTCGACTTCAAACTTAGCCCATAGATAGATCTAAGGACCCTTAGAATATGTTGAAAGTTTCTCTTTCGACACGTTAATTTCCAAAAAAAGATTGGCTTACTAGGAAAATCAAGTTCAAAATCAATTGAAAATTTGGCAAAATGATTATAACTCAGTCTCGCCGGACCATCGAGAAGAACCGGTTTAGACTTTTGCTAGTCTCAGCGAGACCTATTCATGCACTACACAAGAATTCAAACAGTAAATATCAGTTGGAGTGATTCTTTCGTAAGTTTATATGACCTTTCTTGTGAACTGTGTTAACTTTCTAGTCTTTTAATATTATATTTCGAAAATATTTCTTTTGAATGCTCAAAAATCACATCGAAAGTGTTCTAAGTTTTTTCCTAATGGACGTACTTTTATCATGCAATTTTTGTGTTAATGTCTTCTATCTTCAAGATATGGGATACGTGTTGTGTATGCATCAGTCCATTTGGTATCACACCTGATCAATTACCGTGTGAATGTCCAATAGAAGATTGTGCTTACCAATATTGTAGTAAATGCGTACAATCAATAAAAACATGTAATAATACTAATAAGGCACAATTTTGCTGTTTATATTGTCAAAATTCATCCGTGAATGACGCTAAAGTGAATGAATTATTATTAAGTTTACTGTGGCAAAAATATTCTGTTAAATACGGTACTGATTTATTATTAGCAACAAATATTCTGCCCGGAGCGCTTTCAAACGACATATCTAGTCGTATAATACATGTTCAATCATTAATACAAACATTTAATGGAAAGATGAATAATGCTACTTCTATTTCTGAACCTGTTCAATTACTCATAGTACGTGCAAGTGTATTTATCAAAAATTTGAAAAGAATCAAACGTGACGTTGATAAATTGATTTCAACACACAATGATGATGAATTAAATCGTTGCTTTACGATCTATTTAAATGAATTAAATGGTAATCATGATAGAACTCAAAAATGTGAAAGTTTTGTTGAAATATGTGAATTATTGTTATATGAAATTCAACAATTGGAATTGAAAAAATCGTTTCCATCGCTAAATGAAAAAATGAATCAATGGGAAAATACACTGTTTACAAACGATCAATTTGAACCGAAAATTATTGATGTTTTTAGATCACTTGAAAATGATCTCGGTCGAAATATTATTCCAGGTGTTCCCTGTAGAATAGGATTGATTGGTGAAACAAGTGCAGGAAAGACTTCCTTATCAGTTGCATTAAGAAGAATTCAAGATGATTATACTACTAATTTTCAATCAAAAGAGCTTCCAAACATAATACTCTCTTCACCCATCGGTGTTTATAAAACTACGTATTGTCAATTGGAATTTGAACATGAATATGATAATGATAAAAAAGTAATATTTGTTGATATTGAAGGATCCACTGATACTGATTTATATGTAAAATCAGGAAATTATTTTGATCAAATAAAAAAAGCAGATTGTGATTTGTATATTATTGTTTTTGATCACAGTTTTACAGATGTCCATCATCAGTGGCAACAATATATTGTAAACAATTTGAATCGTACATGTTGGATTGTACGGAGTAAAGTAGACGAACTATTTATCAGAACATTTAAACAAGATGTTGGTCAAGATTTTTATTTATGTGATGAAATGACAAGAAAGAAATATGCTGAAAAAATAACGCAACGAGTTCGAGAACTTAGCATCTCAGACAACAAAGGAAAAGAATTATCTGATGTATATCTTACTTTTGTTTCAAATGAAAATAATACTCGTAATCAAAACCCATCTATACTAACATATGCACAATTTGATCTTGAAAAATTAATTAATGATATTATTAATTTACCACTAAGTTTTCATGAAAATCGTCTACAACAAATAGCTATGTATGCAACAGCTCGAGTTATTAATATTTGTTTTCGTCGTGGTTACGCTTTAAATGTAATAAAATATAAAATTTTGGCAGGTTTTGCTGCTGTTGTACCATTTTTGGATTTAGCTCCAAGATATTTTGCACGCGAACAAATTCGCCAAAAATTTGGTGTTAATAATAGTTCATACTTTATAAAATGGTGGACCGGTGAAACAGATGAATTTCAAGTTTATTTAAAAGAATTCAAGATTGAAATCGATGAATCTGGATTGAAAACATCAGCTTTAAAAAACACTTTTAAACTTAGTGGTGTTTCAAGTCAAGGTAAAGTAACAAACGCATCTTCAGCTGCTGTTAAGACTGCGACAGGTATTGCTACTGTTGGTGTTTCAATATCGAATGCTGGTCTTAGAACTGCTGGAGTTGGTGCAACAAGCACTGTTCGTGTTTTGTCTGTTGGTTTAATTGTTGTTGGTGCAGTATTAACAGCAGGAATGTGTGCCTGGTCAGCAGTGTCCAATGGTAAACAAATGTACGATTATTTAAATCGATTATGTGATGATCTTATATTTATTAGTGGACATGTAGCCACAAAAATTATTAAAGACAATCATGAAATACGAGAAGAATTTTTAAATTAAACAAATAAAAAATATTTTGCATTATATGTGTTCGACAAGTTTATCTTATTCATTGAATAGGATCATGCTGGTTACTTTTTAGTGAGCGTTACATGTACTAACATACCTTCAGTTTTGAAAATTTTGTGCTAAAGCGTTGAATAGTCTTCAAATTTTACTTTAGAACAATTGTTTGAGAAAGAGAACATAGATGAAGCTGTTAACAAAAGCTGTGGAAATTCCGTTTGATTTCATTGATACAGTGGTAGGAACGTAGAAAAAGGATCAGGAGATTTTAAAGACTCTTATCTCAAGATAAAATTTCTCTAGACGAGGGTACGGGCATGTTGCTATCGACTAGCGGAAACTTCTTTTTTTGATATGCTTAGAGCGCCTGAGAAAATACCTAGTTACGTACCTGTAGTGCGGATGTGGATATAAATGTTAGTGGATGCCTGTAGGTGTAGGTGAGAGTATCAGAATACTTCTCATTCATATGTAACTTCACATCTTCACGTATACCCACACAAGTACACCTACATCTCATCATTTCTAGTATTGAGATGTTAATTTATTTTTAGAAAATAACTCAAAATGATGTACTTATATTTACAAGTAAAGGTAAACAAATCATTGATTCTAGAAATGCAATAGGAAAAACAAATTTTCTTTAATATTCGAAGCGACTATTTGTATGCATTTACTTTGATTTCCTTAAATATATCTTGTCAACAAAGTTAGCTTTGAAGAATAAGAAAACACCACCTGTCAATATTCAACAATATGTACAACTAATTTACATGATACAAGTAAATTACCTTAAAAAAGCCTATTGAACATACAGGTTGATGTGAATATTGAAAAGAAGTATTTGAATGAAACATATATTTTAGAAAATATAAGCTATTAATAAAACGAAAAAAATGGATAGAATTTTATTTAATTTTTGATTAATATTGATTTTTTTCCTTTTCAGTATTCGAGATTTTAAAGAAAATATTATTTGTAAGTATTATCAGCAGTGCATGTGCTACCTTTTCTCATCTTCATTTTTTTGGTGCACGATAATATTCAGTGATGGTTCAATGACATTGTCAACAACGATTCGATTATCCTAATTATCCATCATCTAATGATAGTTTTCAAATTTTATATGAGTCAAAAATATATATTCTTGTTAATAGAGATAATTATGCTCTATTTGATGGTTAGGGCACTACAGCACGAGTAAATGTCAAAGAGTAAGACAATAAATGTTTTGACAAACGTGAAATGTAAATTTTTTAAATAAGAATCACTTCCGACTGAAGAATGAACAGAACAATTGAGTCAAATTTTAGCACAAGGAATTGAAAATACTCAATATTGTCATCAACTTGAATTATTTAAATTTAATTTATTTATTTAAATAAGTATACTTTCGTATTAAAAAAGGAATCAGTTTTTAAGGTATAAATGGTTGTATGTGTTTTACTCGTTCAATATGCAAACAGTTGTCTTGTTTAAAAAACATTTATTGACAAATATGTTCTAAAATATTATTGAGCCCATGTCCATAAGTATTTACATACAACGTAAGTACAAACATAGTAATCAACTTATGTTCAGCTAATGATAAAATAGATATTTCATTTTTAGGAAAAAGAACATCGCAAGATTTTTCAATTCTATTCTATGATAAAAGATAATCTTTTTTTAATCATGTTCCGATTTATTTGTACATAAAACAACAATAACAACAACATTTAGAAAATCCCATTCGAATGAATATGTATATACATACAAATATAATAATAATCTAATCTATTTTACATCAAAAAAAAAACAAGATCATATCTGCATGTTTGAATTCCCAACCAATGAATGTATACATTATGAAAAACGAAACAGAAAAGAAAAAGAAAAATAAACAAACAAAAAGTAAACAAATGAATTACGACGAAAATGTTCTTGCACGTTCGCGTAATTTTGCTATTTCACTTGATATTATTAATGAAGGGCCTAATTTTATTTTCATTGTATCTCGTAAATGCTCTTGTGTCATTAATAATAATGCTTGACCGTCCATTTCACTTTCATAAAAAGCTTCACGTATAGTATTATTTGTTAAACGTGCAATAAATTCACCCACTTGAACCACAGTCCATTTACTTGGATCAGCTGGTAAGCCATGATCAGGCGGTAATGATATTTGTTCATCAATATTTGTTTCAATTGATGGTTGTGGCATTGAATTTTCAATAATTCTTATTGGTTCATTAATTGGTGGAGTTTTTATATGATCAAGATTTTTTCCATTTGATGTTTTCATTATTTTCGATGATTTTGCTGAACATGATTTAGAACAAAATTTTTTTTCTTGACTATAAAATCGTTCTGAAAAATCAACTTTTTTACATAGAATACATCGAAGTTGATCAGAACCAAGATCACTATTACTATCATTAAAACTATGATTTTCTTTTTCTTTTCCATGTGAATTATTTAATTCTTTTGAATCATCATTATTATCATCGATTGGAAATGGATGACTACTTTCACGAATAACAAAACCACCAATATAATGAACAACAATATCATTGTTTTGTGAATGATTAAGAGATTTTATGGGTGAAGGATTCAATTGGACAACATTAGGTACTGTAGTTGTTGATGATGAAGCAACAGTTGATGAACGAGGAGAACTTGTCGTTGGCGATGATGTTGATGAAATTTGTAAATTTTTCAATGGAATTGTTGCTTGATTTTCAATAGTTTGAGTCATTGGTGGAATAAATGAACGAGAAATAGTATTGGTCGATGATGGTACTGGTGGTGGTGGTGGAGGAAGAATTGTTGTTGGTTGAGATGTATAAGAATATGATGATGATGTACATGAACTAGTATTATTATTGTTATTATTATTAACGGAGAAAATATTTAAAGTTGGTGCAGCAAGCATGTTTGTCGACGATGCATTGCCATTGAGCAAAGATGGATAAGAATATTGCTGTTGCTGTTGTTGTTGTTGTTGTAACAATGATGGATTATTTACAGGAATTGTAGTCTAGAAGTTTTAGAGAAAAAAATTCAATCGTAATAGTCAATATAATAGATGGAAATAAGGCACAAAAGTAGAGAAGACAAACTTTGAATCCAGAAACCAATGACAAAATAGAATCACGAAATGAATATTATTCTATTGAGCTGTAGCTATTAGAATGTTGAATATGCATGTTGTTTAGATATCTGAAATCGACTCGTTCTAGTTCGAAAGAGATTACAACTCTCTGATAGGTACTGTCAACAATCAAGATATGCAAACCGAGACCATGAGGAAAAAAAACTGTTTCAACTGGAGCTAAAGATTATAGTCCACTATTTCATTTATATAGACGAATTATCTTATAAAACACATTACTCATAACATAAATCAACAGAGATTACTCAAAAAAAGTGCTAGTCATCGACTAAAAAAAAATCAAAATAAGAGAATTGGAGAATATTTTAGATGTAATACAAATAAGTTCTGAAATAGTTTTTCCTAGATTGGAAGTGAGACTAAAAAACTTGTCCTCGTAAATCTCTAGTTCTGTTAAAGATTGAAATATATGATAAAATAAACTTTAAGGTTCTCATCGAAGTTTATTCTTTCTCCAAATATTGACCATTGCCAATTTTTTTGAGTTTTCTGGTAACTTTGAACAGAAGCAAACTTTTGAAACACTATTTCCTTCTTTCTGGTAGAAAAGAAAATTAGACTTAAAAAATCTCCTTGTGAGATGAATATGGATAATCTGATGGCAAGTCGCCTATCACAGAAGAGATCAGATCATGGTGGATTTATTCTTCTCCACTCCAGTCAACACTTCTAGTACTTTGAATCTTCGAGTGACATTCACTAATTCTTATTGACGCCTGTAGAACTCAAAACGAATCTCTTATGAAGAAATCAAAACATGTGGACAGATATTTAATTTCAACCTTATTCCATAATAAGATATAAGCATATTGGAATAGAATTTTCAAAATAAAACTTACTGTATGACTAATTGGTTGACTTGGAAAAATTAATGATGTACCACCATTTGTATGTGGATGTATATTATTAAATGTTGTTGTTGCTGTTGTTTGTCCAGGTATTAGTAATGTTGTTGTAGTTGCTGTTACATTCGGTATAGTTAATTCTGTACCTTCAGGCATTGGACGACTTTTTATTGGTTTGTTAGTAAACGGATCACGTTCATATAATCTAAAACAAAATTCAGATAAAAAACAATATTAATTTCAAAAAAAACAATATTGAAGTTTTACCGTGGTCGTCCACGTTTCTTCTTAGATAAACTTGAGCTAATATAATTCAATATAATAAAAACCAAAATAGATAGATTAAATTTTAATTTACCTGCTTGAACGTCTATGACGATGATTAGCCTTACGTGCTATTTGTGAAAGTGAAAGCGAAAGACCCGGATCTGGTGTTGTTGAACCATCAAAAGCTATTCATAGAAATAAATTTAGATGTTTTGATTTTATTTTCACAACTCTTTTTTTTCTACTAACCAGATGTGTCATCTAATGATGAATCATTTTCATTATGTACTGGTGATAAATCTCTTCCGTGTGATTGTATAGTATTTCCATTTAATATCGATGTTGGAAGTATTGAATTTGGTTGTAGAAGTGATGGTTGATGTGTTACAATGTTACAACCTATATTTAAAATATAATTAATAGAAATAACTCTTTTTTATCATTTATTTACCATTAATTAAAGATGCTGTTGCAGGTAATTGTGTAATACCTGTTAATTGTTGTGTTGTCATTGTTGTTGTATCACTTGTTAAAGTCGCTATGCGAAAAAAAACGAAAACGTTGATTTTTTTTCCACAATAATTAAAATGTATTACTTCGTTGCATATCAATTGTTGAACTTGTACGAACAGTAGTTACTGTTTGTGAAGAATTTTGATGTGACTATTAAAATAATCATGTCATCATATTACATAGAGAAAATGTCATTTTTACCTGTTGTGTTGCAAGAGGAGTAACAGCAGGTTGTTGTTGAAAAGTGTTTATTTGTGGAGCATTGGACACTAAAAAGAAAAAAATTAGACGAATGATATTATTTTCGTTTTTTTTTTTAAATGAAGGAAGTAGAAATTTGCTGAAAGAAAAAAAAGAATTTACATATAGAAGAATCTCCATTCGTATGAAATGTTGGTATAACAGGTTGATTAGCTGCTGAAACAACAGTGATAGGTGTTGCTTGCAGAATTTGACCAGATTGATTACGAAATGTAATAGGTTTTTGACCATCATTAGCAACTTGTACAAGCTGAAAAATAATTTTATTTTTCTTTTATTGAATAAATGCAATAAAAGTTTTGACTTACTTGACCTTGATTTCCATCAACAACTAAATAAGTAGTAAAACCCTGAGATTGATTAGTTGTAGATGGTTTAACAACTGGAACATCTGCATAAAGAAAATGAAAAAACAGAAGACATTTTGTTATTTCTTTACTGGTTATATATATATTACTTGTTGCTGGTACAGGTTTTGGAATAAGTGGTGCTAAATCAAAGAACAAATAATATATATAAATATATCTATTCAAATGACTTACCCATTGGATTACCAAGTAAAACAGTTTTTTGTGGTTGAGGTAAAATCGTTGATGTTTTTCCAGTACTTGGTCGTGCAAGTAATGTTGCTGGTTTTGCTGGTGATCGACTTATTTGTTTATTGTTATGAGAAGATCGAGAACCCTAAAAGAAAAAAAAGTATTATAAAAAAAATTTATAGAAAGAAAAATGATACAAACTCGTTTTGTTTGTTTTATTGTTGTTCTTGTTGGAGTCGTAGGAGTTATCGTTTGTTCTGAAGCTATTGGTACGGCTATTAATTGAGTATAGGTTGGTGGTGCAGGTGCGATTGCTACTTCATTTGATGCAACAATTGCAGGTGGTGGAGGTTGCATTATATGAAATGTTGGTTGTTCAGCATCATCAGATGCTGGAGGTAGCGGTACATTAGTAATTTCTGATGGTTCTGCAGAAGGCGCTACTGGTTGTGGTAACGGTGCTTCAGGTAATGGAGTTGATGCAGGTATGGATTCCACCTGCATCTTATTTCAGTAATATTAATATCTGAAATTGAAAATACCTGTTCTAATTGGTCATCTTATAATTAAGTTTGTATTTTGTTTATTTTAATTCGTCACTACGCAATCTGCTTGTTTTTTTTTACGTCATTTTGTTTATTAGAAAGTAAACAGGTAAAAATCAAGAAAAAATAGAAAGATATTTCTTTAAAAACGACGTCACATGTTGAACAGACGAAATGATGAAAAAAAAGACATGAACGAAAGTTTTTTATTGGTTGTTATAATGTGTTTTATTTCAGATAACCAATGAAAAAAAAAGAAATTAATAACCAATCATACTGTTCATTTAAAACTGGTTTCTTACGACCTCTATAAAATAAAATTCTCTCATTTTTTTAGAAAAGAAATATAATTTTGAATATTGACTATTGAAATAATCATCTTTATTTCGTTTACTGTTGGATTACAATTTATAATAGATGAAGAAATTTAAATTATTGCTTCTATTTCTACATATAATATCAGCTCTCTATTTGTAGTGTTCAATTTTCGAGTGACTTCATTCGATAGGAGTGTGCCGAGCGAGGAAATCTAGTAAATGTCTAGTGGCAGAGGAAGAAGCGATTAAGTCTTCCATAAACCTTTTGAACTACGTCTAGAAATGAGACGATCCTATATTAAAGGTGAAGAAGATACTTGCTTTTCAGCTTCAAATATGGATTGAGCACTCTACATACTTCTTCGGACATCGTCCTAGCAGTGAGCCTCTCTTGTATTTGATGAAATATAATCAACGTGAATTAATAAGACGTCCAATAATTTGTTTTACAAATAAGTTATTGAACGATCAACTGCTTAACATCACCAAAGAAAGGTAAAACATTCTTTAGTTCACTGATACAAATACAATAATTAATATATTTCTTTCAAGAAATCTTTGAAATCTAAACTAAATATCTTTAACAACTGAAACCTGATTTTATTGTGAAATATCAAATAGAAAAAGAAAAGACATCACAGGTTTATTGCGAAAAATTTTTTCACATATTGCTATCATTTTTATCCAGCAATTTCAAGACTGCACCGACTAAATACAGACTACCGGTAACTAAAACAGATGGTTTTGATGATTTACTATCATCAATCCATGCTATTGCTTGTGATACGGTATGAAAACAATGTATCGATGGTATTGTTGTTTGATTTTCAATTGTTGATAACCAAAGTTTTTCAAATGCAGCTACATGTAATGAAAGACGACCTATTTCACTAACAATATTTGCTGTTGCTCGCCATTGATCTATAGTAAGAAATAAAATATCAAATAAAAAACTACATTTCATTACCATTGCCAGGTTTTGTATCTGTTTGAGAATTTTTATCATTGATAGTTGGTAGTGAAGTAATCGGTGAACAAAAGGCAACAGAATCAAATTTGCATTTCTATGTATATATATATATATTCAATAAAATAATTAAAAGAACAGGAAAAATTTAGAATCTTACCATTAAAGGTTGAAGTAATACATCTGGTTGTCGATCATTTGAACAATAAAATAACAGAATAAGTCTCTCTGATTTATTTTGTTTTGATAATGAATTAGTGAACCAATTTTTACATTGTTCTATTGATTCAATAGTACTAATCAATAAAATACACAAAAAAAAACAAATTTTACACACAACAAATATAAATCTAACTTACTGTGCACCGTCAACATAATATGTTGCACTCGGTGTATCAACTATTTCATTACGACCTGACCAACGACATGTTGCTAAACCTTGAAGAATTTTTTCATTTAATGGTGCAGTTCTAAGTTTATCATACGATTGTCCTAAGTAATATGATAGTACTACGTTTTAAAGAATAACAATATTGGTTATGCATACAACCTTCTCGAGCATGTAGCCAATGAAAAACTAATTCTATTGCTAACGAAGCATTGATTTCTTGTACATCTCCAGCAAGTGAAAGTTGAAATGGATAATTTGGATAATGATTTAATGGAGGTGCGATTTCTAATGAACACTAAAGAAAAACAAATATAATTTATATCATAATATTTTTCTCATTTACGTTCTTACATGTCTTTCTTCAGCTCTTTCATTTAAAACACGCATAGCCTCAGATACTTGTGGTACAGTAACAGCTGGAACATCTGGCTTAAATATTCCAGCTTTTTGCCATGCAATTTGTTCAATGGTATTACCCAATAGTTTAACATGATCTAAGCCTAATGATGTTATGCCACATACAATTGGAGTTCTATATGTATAAATCAAACTATAGAAAATGAAAATAAAATATGGAATAACAAACTTGATAACATTTGTACAATCATGTTCTCCCCCAATGCCTACTTCGACAATAGCAACATCGATCTTTTAAAATGATTCAAGTTTATTTAAAGAAAGTTCTATTCTTTCAAACCTGTTCATGAACAAAAACGTAAAACATCATTGTCGTTAGAAAAGAAAAATAATAGGGCATTGAAACCGGGTCCTAAAACAGGAAAAAAAATCCCATGATAGAAAGTCACCTATCTTTATTGTTTCAAAATAATGGAAGAATCAAACTTGTATGAAAAACGTGCAACATTTTATCACTCGTCGCTACACATTATTGAGATTCAAACAAAAAGACTAGAGGTGTAAATCGGCATTTAAAAATGGCTTTCCTTTTGCTCAGAAGTGACTTTGAACCATAAAAAAAAGTCACTTTTAAGAAATGAAGCATTTTCGAAAAGAAAAATTTTCAATGGAAAAAAACACCTAAGAGGATCTTTCCTCACATTTTTTTGAGAAAACGTTCTGATTTAAAAATTAATTATATCATAGATCATCCGATTTAGTTTCGCGTGCTGATTCCGAATAACTCATATCTAAGTCCAAGAAGTTTGTGTTAACTGTATTGATAAAACTTAGTTAGAAGAATACTTTGACAACATTTGAGCGAATCTAGATCATGGCTAAGGATGATGTACTCATCTTACTAATCAAGGAAAGTTTCTTAGTATTAAATGACTTTTGAGTCGGATGCAGTTAGTAACTTATTGGTAGCATGATACTGTATTTTTATTAGAATGCTTTGATCCTGCTCAAAAACATCAGGAAAATTGAGTCTCGATATTCCACTTGAAACGTTGCATAGACATAAACCGGAACGAGAATAACTTGTTATAAAAATTTCAGATTTTTCTATTGTAAGCCATTCCATATGAGCAACACGAAAAACATGCTTTTACTGTAGTCGTATCTTAAGATAGAAGCAATTAGAATATCTGGAGCTCTCACAATAAATGATTCTCATCCAAACCTGTTTCTGTGGAAAATTTCAAGATGGAATTCGAAATTCAGTTGTCCTAATGTTTCTAAGAGGATCCACAGCATTCTGCTAACAATCCAGTATCTGGGCAGTAATAAGCTATTAATTTGAACTCTTTTTATGGTATCTACAGCTCATTAGAATCTATGTGGTTACAAAAACGTCTTCACTTTGACTTGAACATTTATTAGTTCGAACTAAAATTTTATTTTTACGAGTTGATTGATTCTCACAGAGAAATTTACTTTTTTTTTAACGACAAGCACGTTTTTAAGCTGAATTTACATTGACCGACTTTCCACTTTACTTAGCACTCGCAAGAAAAACTTACATATCGGCAGATAGCACATACCTTGAAGTGTGTTTACTATCCTTTGAATTGTTGTAAAGTTTATATTTGCTTTTTTCATGTAATGTTCACCTGGGTGTGAACTATGAGGATGCAGAGTGGTTAAGTCCTAGGAAAAGGGGAGATATGTGGACGAATTTCAAAAATAGAAGGCATGACATTTCTCAAAAATAGTAAAAACTTCTTGTCGAAGAAATCATCATTAGTTTCTCTAGTTGATGCATTTGTTTTTTTTTTCTTCATTTTTTTTGAAAAATAACTCAATAATAGTCTGGCAACTTTCGTTGTATTGATCAAACATTTGAAGCTAAATCAATATCTAAAATGTATCATAATCAACTTACTTCATCAGTTGAGTTTTGAACGCCATCATGAATAACATTATAACATTGCCAAAAATAATCAACAAATTTTTCTTTTGATAATAATTCCCCATTAATTCGAATACGTTCACGTGCTTCAATTAAATGTGGCGAACTAAAATTTTATTTATTGCAAAAAAAAAAAAAAACAAAATTAAAATATTATAATTTGAAACTATTCTATACCTAAAAAATCCAGTTTTATAACCATATTGTCGTAAAATTGATTCTGCAAATGCACATGTTGATCCTTTTCCTTTTGTACCTGCTACATGGATTATGTTAAGTTTATCGATTTGATCCAACTATAATTAAAAATTTAAATATAATAATTAATAAAATATTTCAATGAAGAAAAAAATTGTTCAACTAATTCGAGGCATACAGAGTGTCATGCATACGAACAATATTAGATTTGTTCACACTTACAACGCTGTTGCCTCAGTTATTATCGTTCGGTCACCTGAACGTTCAGAAATGACAAATAACGTAGAATATTGTGTATTGATTTTCCACGTTGATCAGTTGATCTTAATGAGGATTGGTTTGTTTGTAAGGCATTTAACGTTGAAATCGCTTCCTAAAATATAAAAAAAAAAAAGAAAACCAGTGCAAAAAGAAAATTTTCATTTTCCAACTTCATAACGGCTTGATATTGTTTTAGTAACAGACGCCACTTTTCGAATTTGAGAACCTATTGATAAACGATATGAGACAGTACGAAACGGATAATATAAAAAAAAATTCATCTAAAAGAAAAAATAAATGTCAATGTATTTTCTTGAGTTAATTGGTTTCTCTATTATGCTACTAGATTAATAAACTATATGAAAGTAGAAACAGGAATTTGAATGTTTCTAATGAAACCTTATCGGTTATTATTGATAGACAAATAAGCATAATTTATGATTATAAAAGAATTTAAAAGAAAACTTTTTTTAAATATTAATAGTATATTACATTGTATCTCATTAATAATTAA